AAAAAAAAAAAAAAAGAGGGATATTCAACCACGCTCACACTCAGGCATTAACTCGTTAGGCCGCAACAACGCGAATCAATGACTAACTTTGAAAGATCAAAAATAACAAAAAATAAAAATCAAATAAATAACCCTTGAATCTGATCGTCACAAAATATATCAAACCTAATAGTGATTAATAATTGTGACTGTTATAAGCCGACGCTCGGTGGTGATACATGCTTCCGGCGTACTCCGAATTTGTGTCCTGGTAAGCTGTTGCGCGACGATCTTCTTCCGGAAGGAATTCCTTAACCTCCCATGTATTGGGTTTAATACCGACAGAGAATTCCAGATCTTCCTTCGTAATGTAATCCCAGAACTGGGGATGATCAGCACCCGCATACATTAAGTGTGGAGTAGGGTTAGATAATGGAAACTGCAACAAACGTACCTTGTAAACCATCATGACCGCAAGTAGATTACAGATGGTCGTAAAGAACAGACCATCCAAGTAATGTTGGACATTCTCGCAGATGGTGTCACTGAACGCGTAGAGGAGCACCTGACCGCAGATGAAGACGAGGAGGCCGAACGCGATATGACCGAGAGGCCAGCGGTCTTCGAGCGTGTTCATAACCAATAGGAGTTGCATGATGAGGTAGACTGCTATACAGATCGCGTTGAGGATGTATAGTACTACAAACATGCCGATGGTGTTGGTGGGACTGAGCCCGCCCCATGACTTGAACGTCAGGAGGGAGATGACGAATGAGATGGCGAACATCGCTGTGGAGGTTAGACGAAGGAGCCAGACTGAGAGCGCTGTTCCGTCTTCGTAGAGCTGGAATCCTACGAATCCGTTGACGAGTAGGCTTGTGCATAGGGCGGAGGTTAGGCCGTTTTGTACAGCGACGAAATAAGGGAACGGGCCGCTCCTGGGCGGGACCACTCCGGCGTCGATGACCAGAGAGCACATTGTTAGGAGCATGTAGATGTAAAAGAAGGTGATAATCTCCTTGCGACCTAGATAGTCGCGAACGGGGTTAGTGATCGCTCTCTCATTCTGAGTGAACTGCGATTTTCGGTGGTTTACGTACCGACCGCGGTGAACTTGGACCTGATGTGTAAAATCATAATGACCGTCATTGCCAGCGCTATGATATGGACGAAGGATGCGGCGCCTTCGAAAATGATTGTGTTGGCTAGTTCGATGTTTCGCGCATAGCAATTGGGAATGATGCCAGTTGCGCCTGATATCGAGGAAGCCGGGCCCACGAGGGAGCACAGTGGCAACGCTGCCTTCTGGCAGATCGTGTCGAAGTCGCCGAACCCCATTTCGACCGCCCGTTGAAGCTGGGTGTAGTATAGCCGTGGGATTGTTTGGGTCGTTCGATGATATCGCAAGATGAGCGGATCCGAGCCGTCTCCACAACGACGGACGGAGACGGGTTTCCAGTGACCCAGATAGGACTTCCGCGGCGTCCACTGAAGTGTCGGCAACGAATGACTGGTGTATTCCGGAGGAATGAAGCAGAACGAGTGAGATCCCGACAGTGAGGCGACGACAATTAGCGTCCGACGAGGGGTTTTGGCCTTGTTTCTCCTGGTCTGAGGCTTCTGGAACAAGAATCACGAGGTGCGCTAAATCCAGATCAAGGCTAGCCCATATAAGCTTAGCCCCAGGTTGCTATTCTAGGATTAGTGTGCCTCCCCGGATAGGCCACCTTCGCGCTAGCCCCTATTGGTAACTTGTTTATCTGGGCCCTAAAAAAGCATGCTAACCGTGTCTGGTTAGGTCAGGGAAGCCTTGCTATACAAATTTCACATTCTCCAGAGATGTCGAATGAGGCCACCGGAGGTCACAGACAAGCCTGGCCATGCAAGTGTGGCCACATGAGTGATCTAGGCAAGGAGTATGTGCCGCTCCTAGTTTGCTATATCATTGGCCTTGTTTTTACCTGCGATAATTGCCTGTAGGCGACGAAGCATTTGACCCTTGTTCAATAAAATTGCCAAGAGCCTTAGTATATTCATATGTATTCTACTTGCCAGGAGAATGTACCACGTAGGTTGTGGTGAAGACCAACCTTGGCAGATCGTCTGCGATACTCTAAAGGAACAAGATATTACTGGAATTGTATGTACCGTCGTATATGAAAAATCGGGGGCTAATTTGCAGCCGGCAGGCGCACAAAGGCATTTTGACAGGGGTCCTCTTTTCTTTTTTCTTTTTTTTTACTAGGCCCAACAGAACTGACTGTGATGGCACATGATTGACGATAGACGTAAAAAGCAATGTGAGCCCGAAACCAAGTCAGGAAAGCCGATCCACAGTCAAAGGTGGTTGAAAATGCCACTTACCTACATCTGAGTGGCCATTGACTTCAGGGCTGGAGGTCTTAGCACCTTCTAGAATCAGTATACCGCTTTAGGCGGAGATTACTGATCCTGTTGGGTGTCTGTATGGATAAGATCCCTGAAAAGTATTACATCAGATCTGCGGAAAAGTGAAACGAGCTTCCCCTAAAGTTTTACAGGCATCGAACCCCACATGCATTGTACTTCTTTCTTTCTTTATTATTATTATATTATTATTATTTTTTCCCAACCTGTCCTTCCCCTGCAGCACCCGATTGTCCCCGGACTGTGAGTCACTTGACTGATAGATCTTTGTCCCTCGTTGAGGTTACTATTCCGGTGATAGAATGCCATTGTCAATCTTACGACCAGCACTGCTTTGAGTCTTGGATAATCTTGATTATCTGATGCCCACTTCGACGGTTGGTCGATTTAACTTTTCTCGAAGCCGTGGATTGATTCTTCGTTAGCCGTAGTCAAAGCCCGACGGAGGGCTGCTGTAACCTTGTCAAGACATGCCGTACTCCGAGTGGGCCACTATCCCGCGACATAGTTCTTGAAGGCTGATTCGGATTTGACCCCCTCCCATCGTATACTTTACAGTATTCCCCTACTAAGGTTCAAGCGGAAAGGCAGAACCACCATGATTTTCTTGGCATACTGATTCTTCAACCAGCTTACGTATGCGATATCAAATCACTAACAGCGGGCCATGCCCTCTTCCCGTCTGCAGATAGATGCGACTATCTTATGATATCATGGTTCCTTGACCGATGGGGCTAAGATCATAAAATCATAAGCTAAGGGAGGAAGAGAAATAATGATTGGATTTATAATTACATATAGAAAGAAAGAGGATAAAATTTAAACCACTCATCGGATTTGGTTCCGAGCCACGGATTTCAGACCCTGAGGCACACCAACCGGATGTTTAAACTTTGAGCCCGAGCGGCACTACGCTATAGTTAGTACCATTCGGTGAATTTCATGGCTCCAAGTGCCTTTAGTGAAACCCGGAGAAAAAAAATTACTCAAGTCACGGGAAAACTTCCAGGTGCCTTTCCCGGTTATACGGAGCGGATTAGGGTACGAGCCGATCTGTTACTATGGCGCCGAAGTAGTAAGTCTAAGGAGACGGGAATGTGCATACAGCTCAGCTTAAATCGAGTCACTTTCATCAGGGGCCGAGTCTAATTAAAGGAGGCATATGGGTACCCAACACTTTGATTCTTGCTTTTTCCTTCTTCTTTTCTTTTCTTTTCTTTTTCTTTTTCCTTTTTCTTTTCCCTCTCTTTCTTCTCCTCTTTTCTTCTTTTCCAGAAAAATGACGCTGTGGAGCGGAAGGAATAGGACATGGATGAGTTCCGCCGGGTCAGGCACCATGAAACCTTATGATATTCACCCAATGAAAACCTACCACCCATGCGCAAATATCTTGAATCCTAAGTGTTAGGCCAACAGGCTTTGTCGGATATGATAATGTAATTGATCAATTGCCTCCTCATCATTGACAATGAAAACCCCTCCGAATCTCTACCTTCCAAGGTTATGGGTGATCTTGGCCCCCTTAGGGGATGAACTGTGGAGGAGGAGGGTCTTCAACACTGAGGAGGTCAATCCCAACGGTTTCGTGCCGTTACATCGGTAACTACTCCGTACGGATCAGATTAACCTCCACCGACATTGTTTGCTTTAGACCTACTCCAGACTTGTTAATGGTTTAACCCACGACACGTCCAGGACTTTGCCGTCAGTCATGCATGAAGATCCTAGTTAGCGCCACGTGTAGATGAAGCATCAACGGCTGCGAGGGACCACGTCGATCTCCCATTGCCCCGATCGGTCCTAAAGCAGATGAGGCTTCTCTCCCCTCGCGTGGGACACTTTCCTCTAATGTTACTAGAGAAGTTAGCTGCCGTGTCGTTAGTCTATGTCCTTAGTTTCACTATTTTCTAGATTGTTGCAGTTCCAATGACGCTTCACGGAGATGGCCCGGTCACCTCGCAAGGATTTCGTTTTTTTTTTTTACTTTTTTCTTTTTTTTTTTTTTCCCTCTTGCTTTTCATGCCAGACTACCCCGATACTCTGCAAATGGATCGTCGGGCACTACCTTCTTTTTAGTTATTTTTTAATTTTTTATTTATTTTGTATTTTTAAATTTCTTTCGAATAATATTTTAATGAATTTCATATTTTCTTCACTCCCCTGTCTAACCTTTCGGCCGCCGGCTTGTGATGGGCCACAACCCTGGTGGTTCTCTCTAACTTACTAGCAAACAAGCCATGCTGGAGTTGCCCTCCATGAGCGACGTACATATATTATCATTCTTCCTCCCTTGCCTCATATGGCCTATATTGATATAATTACCTTTTTCTTACAGACTTGCTCAGTATATCTTCTTTTATATACTTTGACCCCCTTCGTACTAGACCACCTGTATATCCGAGGTAGGGTGGCATTATTCGATATACTACTACTATCATCACGATCCGCACAATTGAACCTCTCTATCCTTCCGAATTTCGAGACGATATCCCCTTCCTCAAAGGCCATTCCTTCTCTGACGGCAGTGGATGCGGCAGCAATGTGCAACTACTTCAAAAATTACTACATATACAGCACTTGCCGTGAGCCCAATGTGCATTTCATCCGAACATCCATCGATGGATCTAAAGAAAACCGATGTAATGATGGTCCTCATGATCGATTTATTGTGGTGGTCGGCAAATGTCGACTTTGTCGTTGATTCTATATGGATCGACGTCAACGAAACACTATATGGCACTCAACGGCCTCCTCCGAATTTAGAATCTTCACGGCATATCTCACGAATTCTTTCGAACCACCATCATTAAAAATTCTTCGATTATTCCATGAGCGCCTTATTTACTCTCTCATCATCTGTCTATCCGACTTGTCTTTTTTTTTTTTTTCTTTTCTATTTTTGTTATTACCTACTCTCTTTCTTTATTCCTTTCCCTCTCTATGTCTTCCAGAAATTCCAGGCGAAATTCTTCTGTCACATGTATATTGGATTTGGCACGGGCATCATGTATGGCGCTTTAAGGAGTCAACAAAAGAGGGTCGGCTTTTTTTCCTTTTCCTTTTCCTTTTTCTTTCTTTTTTATTTTATTTTATTTTCTTCTCTCTATCCTGTTTAGACCCCATTGATGTTTGGCTTCAGTTCATGTTATACACCACCCTGTTTTTGTCACATGAAGGAAAACAAACTAAATTTACTATTATTGTTGCCTATCTGGATGGGTTACTATTGCTTCAAGATGGTGGTGCCTTTCCGAACTGCTTTGTTCTTTTCTTCACCCCTCCAGGTGGGAACGGACTGACTCGCGAGGGGAACCACTTTAACGAGTCAGAGAAGCGGAAACTAAGGGGAAGCGCTACACAAGAACACAAGAGGCCGCCTTGACCTTCTCTTTAGACTAGCATCAACAATACTCAGGCTTGAAGGCAAAGTATACCGCTAGCCACCGCTTGTTATCAACCAGTGGTCATTGCACTTGACGCAATGAGGTGCATGATAGCAGAACCGTTGCCTGCCAAGCATATATCGTCCTGCATCTACGGAGGCCCAGACGGAGTCTGTGCTCCCCCGTCCTATGACGAAAGTAAAGCGACCGGCCGAGTGGTGTGGATTCTAGTGGTTCTTAGAGCCGACTAGTTGTCAGACCGGAGGCTGGGCTGCATTTTTCCCCCGATGGGTGGTTGACGGTCACACGGAAAACCAACAAGCTTGAGAGATACGGACAAGGATTAACCGCTTGGTCTTTGTTCTTTACTTTCTTTTCTGGTTCTCTTTGTTCTACCCTGGTCTTGGTCTCCCCATGAACCCTGCCAAGGGACTGCCACTCTGTGATGGACACGACCGATGCAATGTGATCAACGCTGTCCACCCACCCACCCATGTGGTGTAGTGACACAAAATTGGAATGCATATGGAGTAGACCGTTAATTAGTTAGTTAGTTAGTTAATTAGCACCACACAAGAATCAGTTGGTGCTGAAATTGAATGGATGGGTAGAGTTCTCTAAGGTTGGTCGCCAACTCTCCCGGGAGTGGGGGAGGCCGAGGATTTTTCGGATGGCGGCCATTCAACAGGCATATTGCATACATTTATCCCCGCAATTCTATCCTTTCTCATTTGCCTAGGGACTAAACTACAGCAATCCTTCCTCACACCACGGTTAATAATTTAATTTCCGACGCCTGCTAAGGTACGCGGAGGGTACTGTATATTGAATACCATTGCGTACGGCCACTTTACCTTCTGACCAAGCCCACCTTCGGGCCGAATGTGCATTCCTGCAGGGCAACGCTTAAAACATAGCCGGTCCACTCGCTACACTAAAGAGTTCAGGGGGGAATTGGATCCATGGTGGTCGTCATATCCTCTGTATACATCGCCTCACTATTGGCTGGGAGTCAAAACCTGAAGAAGCGCGACAGCTAGCCATTGCACAACCATATCGATAGTTGTCCTGAAGATCCTGAGGTCCAATGAGAGAGACCCCACTGACTCCATGGATGTGGATCACCGAAGTGGCATGTATGCAAGCTCTTTTCCAAACCATCGCACCATACGGTCAGGTCAAAGTTCGGTGATCGAACCGAACCGAACCGAGGCCCTATGGAGATACTATATCCTCATCATATCTTCTACGGAGCATCAACTTCTCGCTACTAACGCTCGAGCGGGTAGAAGCGAAGCCCGGTAGCACATGTCAACTTATCCCATGGCCTGATACAATGATGATCATGTTCACCCAAGGTTAGCAAAAGAAATTCTAAATGATTAAAAGATTTTTTTTTTTTTTAAAAAAAAAAAAATTCAAGAGCCGATACTGTGATGCACAACCTGGTCTCACCTTACCATAAGGTTGTCCTTTTCCATTCGGGGTTATTTACACGAAAGCCGAACTTGTTCTTATCGCCCTACGGAGTATTACTCGGTCATACTATATTAGAGTATTTGGCCCTTGTTCGTTGAGTACACTAAGCACTTAATACTCTTACGTGGCCTTGAACCATCACCGCTCAGACCATGCAGGTTTTCGAGGCACAATTGCGCGACTTAAAATGACTTTCAACCGCACGGGCGTATGTAGAGACGCCAGTCAATCAAAGTTGCCAAGGCATGTCGGGGCACAGTTTCCTCAATCAACCCCCTGTAAACTGTATGATCTGGCCTCCTACAGAGTACGTATCCGTATACTTCGTCGAGATTTTCCAAAAGTACGAAACAAACAGAGCAAACCGACATACTCAAGTCAAAGACCCTTAGGAGTCCCCACATTCATCATTGTAGGTCGATGGCACGTGCACTCTCCTATACTAGCATTCCACAGTTAATTACATCCCTCCCAAGAATACGGAACAGACGCTCGGTAAAAAGACAAAGAAAAGGGGCAACCGACCAATCAGCCGATCGAAGAAAGCTGAATGAGAACTCCAGCTCAGGTACTTAATAGCCTAATTAGTACTATAAGAGTACTTTTATCCTGGAGAAGTACTATGCATGCAGGCGAGTACTAGGGCACACAGGATCCTGTCCAGTAGCCAACTTCTGCAAAGGTACAGCCTTGAGGAACAATAAGCCCCCTGCTACGTTGGCTCGGCAGAGTAAGCGGCAAGAACGACGCGAATTAGCAATAAATTAGCCCTGCCGCCTCACTCATCGCACTAACCATGAATCTATATATTAAACTTCGGTATCCCTACTCGTGGAAAAATGCGTATATCGAGTCAGTTTGTTGAACTCTTTCCTTATTCTACCAATACAGGGGAATGCTGTTACATATTGTCTCCATTCCTCTGGTTCCTTTTCTTGTTTGAGAATTTTACTTATATCGTAATCCTTGTCCATTGATTTATTTTCGGGGTGTACGTAGTAGCGGTCCCGCCAAGATAAGACCGAGTCAGTGCCTGGCTAGTTACCAACTAGTGGGAAGCGGCCTGGAAGCTATGACCGTAGTCTAGTTGGTCCATGTACAGGGGGCCATTTACATAGTACTCCGGGTTATGGAAACTGCTTTGCGTAGAGGTACTATCAACTGGGTTTGTTGGTTTATGCATGTACTTTAGTAGTAGGCCAGTGAGCTTTCATAACGTTTCCTCCCTAGGTGGTTGTAACAGCAGGTTGGGGATTTAATATCAACTAGATCGTCAGCGTCAGCGCACTGGTCTCTTTACTTAATGCGGAAGTACTACTAATAATGACTAGAATAATATATCTTTTCAAATCCTGGTACTTCGTACTAAACGCTAAAAACACCATCGTAATATGATTCACAAAAGTCTTACCGAGTTCAGTCATGAAAACAAAACCTCAACCACCACACCACAACCCCTTTCTTTCTTTTCATCACAGGCCCATATAGGTATCATCTCGGTGTCTCGTTCAAGTCCCTTGGCATATTCCCATACCCACTGATCTACCTCGGAAGCTCGTATCGAGGCCATCGAGCTGATTTAGGCTAAATGATAGGTCTTGAAGCTATGCTATCTGGTATGGAGTGTACGGATCTAATACATGATAATATCCCTAATGTTTTCATGCTGAATGTACGATATATATATTAGATTGGAATGGTCTAATTGGATTCGTCGCGGCTATGATTTCAATGGAAATAGTGAGGGTCTTGGTTTTACTAAGGGCCAGTGTTGTGTTGAGGTTACTGTGGCGGTTATATATTTGGTGGTATACTTCTATGAAGGAATGTAGTGGAGATGGACATTGTACGTATAGATTTACAGCCAGTATACATAGTAGACTATTAAGTAGATAACTACTGTCATAGATCACTGATAGCCAATACTCTATACTTCTATAAGCCATCACTAGAGAAATACATATCTATTCCTAGACCTGATGAGATATGTATATACCAATAACCACAACACAAATACATTACATCTCCCCCAAAGTACACACAAGAGCACAATACAAAACAACAACCAATGACCAAACCAAACCGGAAATCAATTTCCGTGTCTCTCCCATTTTGCATAATACCATTACTATTAATATCACCCTCACATATAGAACCTCCCGCCCCCGTCAGATTATAAACCCTCCCGAGCGGTTGATCCCGGTATCACAACATCTTATGGACTGATTCTATCGGTCCCTTCCCTTCTCCGGCCCGATCCGTGTCCCATCAAGCCCTGTTAATGTGTTAACCTGGTGCTTACTGTGCATGGGTGAGATTTACGGGGTTAGATAGATAGAGTGATGTAAGTACATAAGTCCTGGTTCTGAAACATGGTGCTTATGGCTTTGTGGTGATGGCGGGATGGCGGAGATTAGGTAGGTAGTGGTTGAACCCTGGATTGTGGATTTGTGATTGTGATTGTGATTGTAGGGGTTTGAGTGTGGGGTCCCACTGTCCTTGGAATGGAGGTTTTTTTTCTTCTTTTTTATAAATGCTAGGTAGAGTTGGGGGTTGTACTGTCTTTGTATTAGTATTCGTAGGTAGTCATTGTTGTAGGGTATGTTGTGTATGTATATGTATGGGGTTGGCTAGTTGGTTGCTTGGGTATGTTGTGTAGACAAAAGTACCTACCGACCTACCTACTATACATTGCCTTGTCTATCTACATACATACATACATATGGGTACTATTACTCCGTACATAGACACCACAAGTCTCCATCCCCAAACACTCCCAACAACCCAGAATACAATAAAATCAAATCAAATCAAATAGAAAAATGGATACACCTAAACCAACACGAATAACCACCCCAACCCAGGTCCGAATCTAAATCCACCTCCAAAGTCAACAACGTAATCCTCATTTCGGACGAAAGGGGACCCCTATAACAGAAGAGTTATAATAACACGGCGTGCTAAGTGACGGCCAAAGCCGACGTTGACTTCCAGCGTGGTAGTGGTTAAGTAACTGCTTGGCGCTGGTGGAAACGGTCAGGTGGTTTAGGTTGGGACTAAGCTTTATTACTAAATTAGTAGAGGCTCTGGAAGGGTTTTGGTTGTTTCAGGTATGCTATTGCTATTACTATTGCTATTGCTTGGTAGGGTTATGGGGTGTGATTGTGATTGTGATTGTGATTGTTTGTGATGGGATGTGATGGATAAAGGTGGGGGCCTTGAAGGTTGGGTTTCTTTTCTCTTCTCTTCCTCTTCGTCTTTCCTTAAGTCTGGGAGGTTTTTGTTGGTCTATATGTTTTTGGGTTGGTGGGCGCTGGTGTCTGTTGTATACTACCCTCATACTAGGAGGGCTGTGTAGGTGTGTTGGGGGTGTTATTACGTCCAAGTATATAGTTTTCCAATTCAGATCGTGAATGAATGCTAGAAATATGTACTAGTATCATGCTTTCGTTTCCTAATCGAGGAAAAATTGTAAAGCAGCAGGCCTCCGGTAAACCCTGCCATCCCGATTCGCCATCAAATACCGCATACAGTAAAAATAGATAGAAACTGCCTCAAGCCCTCACTTCTCTGAAGTAGGCTCACGAACCATGCAATAAAGCTGCCAAATTCATTATCAGACACCCATCTCTCAAGGCTCAAAGGGAAGTTCAAAGGCGGAAAAAAAAAAAAAAAAAAAAAACCTACCATGCAAACATCCTCCCCATCCCGACACTCCATCTCCTTCTTCATCCTAAATCCCATCTTCTCATAAATCTGCACATTAGGCACATTCCGCGAACTCTCCAAATAGCACTTCACCCCCTCGCGATCCGCCATATCAGTAACAGCCTCGAACAACTTCCTCCCAATCCCACCTCCCTGCGCCTGAGGACTGACCGCCACAGTGTTGCAAAAATAGTACCCCCGTGGATCATCCCAGATCGCGCTCTGCGCCTCCTGCTGCCTCTCCTTCCAGATCCAGTACCGATTAGTCCGGAGCCCGCCCCGTCCTAAATGCCACACGTTGTTCAGCATCTGTCGCCAGCTCAGCACCCACCCCTGACACCAGCTGTACCAGCTCTCCGGTTCGGACGCGGCATGCGGCGGTAACCAGCAGGACACACCGACCACGCGGTCTGCGCCGTTTGCACTGGTTTCCTTGGCGACGTGGAACAGGGCGTTGTTGATCCCCCAGAGACACCGCGCAGCGAGGGAATCATAGTTCCTTTGCTTGTTGAACTGTGTGTTTGGGGCATGGCTTGTCCATCACGTCGGTCGGTGTTCCACCTCGACCGCGTTGATGGGCCGCTGTTCGTTAGCTTCTTTTTTCTTTTATCTGTGGTGGGATTTCTTGCCTGGTGTGGAGATATGGGGGTTTAGGTTCTGGGTTTCTGGAATGAGTGTTTTGTCTCTCGATCACAACTCACATTGGAGGGATCGAAAACCCATTGGAAGTATGGGTCTTCTGCGAATGCTTGTTGGATGACTTCGATCGCATCGGGGATGTCTGCTTCTGTGAGGGGCACAACCTCGACGGCCATGGTGACTGGGATTATGGATTTGGATTTAAAGTGAGTTTATATTTGGTGAGTGTCTGAACCTTAAATACAGATCAGCGCCGGGAACTTCATTTGGGCGAATAGACTGACTGAGTGAGGGTTATTATGGTTGTTCTGAGGTACAGTATGTTCTATTCTCGGCAGGAAAATGTGTCGACAGTAAAGGGGAAGAAGAGATCTACGAAAATTGAGGTAAACTGGCCGGTGGTCACTGGATCATCATGAATGACAAGCAGCTGAAAAAGCATTCGCTCGGCATTATCCGAAAAGGAAGCTCTATGCGGGATTCTCCACAAGGGTTCTGGGCGGTAAGGACTATACTGTGTAGATCTCAACGACGTCATTTCATTGCATTTCCTTCTCACTACAGCGGCGTTACCGTACATTCTTCCTGCTTCTCAATACTCATGATATCCCCTCCTTACATAGCGATGGCGAAATATACTTGATCATAGCCACCACCCATGGCGAACGACAGGCACCCAAAGTAGATAAAGTTCATCACCTGCAGGTATATGGAGATCCGCCCCCAGAGATCAGCTCTTGAAAGTGGAGCCGATAGGGCCAACTTTAATGTTGGAATAGGCCACATAGGCGCTAGGGTTGGAGGCTTCGACCTCGCTAGGAACACCGGTCGACGTGGAACAAGTTCCACGGGCCACGCCGGGCTTGCTTGTGGACTCGTCGGTGGGGTAGTTGCTGTCAAGCCAGAGCATGTTGGCATAGTAATCATCCCACAAGCTCATGACCAACACCATTCCAGTCGACATGGCTTCGCCCATGCCGGCGAGCCCACCATGTTTCGCGAAGCTGCCTGAGCCGTCGAACAGGCTGTTCTCTGCAGTGCAAAACTCCGAGTTGATGGTGTTGCCGCTTAGGCCGCTAACGTCTGCGCTGGGCTGGGGGTATGTGACACCGTCTTGCACGTAGAACCGTTTAATCTCGGATAAGGTGCCGCTGGACGTGCCATCATCGGTGATGAACTGGGTCACAACGGTGATTGGTTTGTTAGTGTCAATTGTCTTGCCAGGGCCATAGAAGGTTGTGTTGCCCACACGATACGGGTTGAAATCGCAGCCATCAGGATCACACGTGCCACTGTAGCGGTCAGAGCTATATGTGCCACCGCAGGCGTCCCCGGTGCATAGAGTGTTGGTGGGCGTATCGCATGGGTGAGAAGTGAGAGCTTGCGAAATGCTGTTAGATTCCCATATATCCAGTTCTGCACAGCAGGAACCATGGTTTCCAGTGCCTGTATTGGCATTGTTGGTCGACGGTACCCAGCCTTCGACATTGGCTTGTCCCTGGATAAACTTGAGATCCCGTGGACATTGAGAGTCACAGTAACCAGTACCGTACTTAGCGCCAGCTTTGTTGTTTGGATATTTGGAAGCACCTCCATCGGCATCCATTACGACGAAGTACAAAGCGCCGTTAAGACCACATGGGAGCTTGGAGACGTCCACATCGAAGGTAAACTCTTGGTTCAGAAGTTTGTAGACCTCATAATGGGTATCATCAGCCATCATGTAGACGCGGGAACCGACGTTCTTCCCGTTGGAGTTGTTGGTAACAAAGTTGAGACGGACTTCACTGCCGCTGGTGGTGATACCGTAAGTGTTGGAGTAGTCGGCGCCATCTAGGGCACATTTCTGGGCACAAGCGTCATTGGTACTGCAGTAGGAAGTATCCCATTTATTGCCAGTGTAGCAGTTGCTAGAGCTTCCGGTTTGGTGGACCCAACGCCAGTTGGCATCGAGGACAACGGAGCCTTGCTTGGTGCTGCAACTGCCACCGTTACTGCATGTCTGCCAGGTCATCGAGGGATGGGTTTCAGTCTGGTAAGTTCCAATCTGCTGACCCTGGGCAGTAATCAGCACTGAAGAGAAGATGAGGGCATTGCGGCAGATTCTGGAGAAAAGAAGAGAGGCCATCTTGACTCTGCGAAGCTTTGCCGGTGCTTGGATTTCATGAGACATATTGAACTCCGGAAAGGAGATGTCTTTATATAGATGCCCTGTCCGACTCAGACATCATCGTATCATGCAGACTTGAAGATTTGTCGACCGGATCGAAGGCCCGCCGGTCCGTTGGAGAAACGACATCTAGAGACAAGAAACTTCATTCTCCGTGATGGAAACAGAATAACCTCTATTCAAGTAAAGACAAGAGCGGAAACCAGTTCGCACTGAGCCTAAACAGGGTCGTATTCCCCGTAACTAAGACTTAGCGGCGAGCTCCACGTTGTGCAGAATCTGGACACTTTACTCCGAAGTCTCTTGCTCCTCATCGTAATAGGAAAGGGTGCGGAATCTCGGGATAGACTACTCGTAGGAACTTCTCCCACTTTGGGCCGAGCGTCTATTAGATGGATCAGGTGATTTGCCCTGCCGTGCGTTGGAGAAGGAAATCGTGAAGAAACAGCGGCCCTATTTCATAACCATCGAGACGCAAGCCAGAGAGCAAGACCGCAGGTTGGTATATCCACCAACATCATCTCCTCCATACTGAATCGGATATCATCGTCTAAACTGTGGCCATGCCTCCGCCAGGGGATTCTGTTTGGTGGCTGTCTATGGCCTCCTCAATTAATCTAAAAACTGGGGAAATGCGTTGAGGGGTGTCGTAGTATCCAAGTGTGATGGTTTCCAATCTGACATGCAGGAGACCACGTGCTAGTATAGCCACCTGGGACTGCAACCTCGCAATCTCCTCATTTTTACCCGGTTAAAGAAACAATGTAGCTCCGGCTTGTGAAGATTGGGTTCATCAGCCATGGCCTGACAACTGACATGCATGTTCTAGACCACATGATTCTCTTACCGGCCGTATAGAAAGTCAGCGGAACGGCCCTTGATCTAGTCGGGTTTGACTCTGTTAGCGTCGTCCTATCGCGCAGGTAAATATTGCTTGATCACCGGCAATTATATCCAGACATCCAAGTTTGTAACGGCATATGTTCCGAAAATCTCGTGCTGGTCAGTCGAAGGACTGTCATCTCACGAGCTAAAGTTAACACTAGTGTGCGTCTTCAAATAAGATTTGCTGTTTCCCCTTCACAGCCATCGTGCCGAGGCTTGATCTTGTCGGAGACGATGTCCCCATATTGCTCGTCTCTGCCCTCTGAAGAATAGGAGCTGCTTCCCGTTCTCAGCAGATATATGTATTTCAATCATCAGCGTCTGCCCAAGGTATCAACAATACCAAGAGACGACTTCTCCAACATATCACTACCTTCTTCATATCTATTTGTTTATTCTGTTGATTTCCCGGTAGGAGAATTGTGATTGCATAACATTCGACTTGAGAGTTATTTGGAAAAAAATCCATACCTGTGTTCGGGATGGCCGAAATAGTTACAAATTGTAGTTTTTGTAGATTTGCTGTTGGAGGCGATGGGTAGTCGAAGTGCGTTCATATGTACTTACACGATCTAAATGATGATGAAACAGCGGTCTATATACTTGAATAACATATAAATTTATGAAACGAATTGCATCAATCGCTAGTTCAAATATGTTTGAGAGCCATAGACATAACGAACTCGAGAGATGTATAGCATAGAAAAGAAAATCCAAGAAAATCAAGTTCGCTCATGATGATGCCCTCCTTATTCCAGCGCCGGCCATCATCCTTGTCCTTCTGCGCCTTGTAACCCTGTAAACCCGATTTATAACAAATATAATCCATCAGCGTACAGCGCTAATCGTATGATACCGTCAAGGGGAGTTTTCCGGTGTAACATCAAGCACCTGGGGACCCCCTTCAAGATGAAAAGAATACATTTAATTCATGATATCGTAACTCCGTGACTGACATCTAGCCGAGCGCCATCTAACGGCTTAGACGGCTGACTGATCCAAGCGAACCCACTCCCGTGGGACGTCCATACTCCGGTTCACCCGCCCTCCAGGGGTCAGAGGCACATCAACCCGTCCGAGACCCCGTGGGTCATCGGCAGTTTCCTCATAGCACGACAGCCGGGAAAAATAGTCCTCCAGCACCGTCTCCCGGTCGTTGTTGCCGACAATAGAAGTGTATTCAGGGGGTGGTGTTATGAGAGGTGGCGGTGGCGGAACATCTTCGAACGCGGGTGGAGCAAATGACGGGGTGCGGAGAAGATGCATAGGACGCGGTGGAGGCTCATCTGCACGGTCGCTTGGCTCATGTGCCAAATGCGCTTGAGGAGGTCGTGCCAAGCCGCCAGAGCCATTCGTAAAACTACGGTAAACTGCTCTACCAGTCGGCGGCTCCTCTGCTTCGGAAGTCGGAGAGCGGCCGGTCGAGCTGCTGGCTCTATTGAGCGCGGCGGCTCCTGGACACCCACATTCGTATTCCTGGGCAGGCGGCGCAGGATCCGAATTTGGCGAGGTATACGCTGGGAGATAAATGTTGGCCTGTGTGGCCTTGCACGAAAGTAGGTGGAATGGAGAATCGATAGAGATCTCGAAATGTCTTCGCTTACTCGGATCTCTTTCATCCACCTTAGAGAGACGAAGGACAATCTGAAAGAATCGCGTTAGCCGTATTCTTTTCGAAACCTAACAGGTGGAAGCCCATCCTACCTTGATCCAATGGTTAATCTGTATGTTTTCGTACGTTGTGTCGAAGTGTAGCCTGTGAGACTCATCCCGATTTTTCATCTCATAGCAGCTCGGGAGCTGAACATTAAACTCCATTTCGGTCGGACCGACGCCGGAATCGCTGGCTAAATTTCCCAAAAGATTTGTCCGGTTCCGGTCCACAACTTCATCGCCCCTCGCAGCAGCAGCGCGATGATCCCAGTCAATGCCACCACCTGCTGTGACGCGCATTGAGCTGCCTGGGTACGTACTCGTGCTAGCTGAATCAGCTCGTTTCTCAAACAGTAGCACCTTCTTGGCCGGCTGAAAGCGGTGGACGCTCTTGTCTGCCGTCCAATGCTGTATGTTTTCCGTTACGTAGACTTTAATCCGGTGGCATTCGACTTTGGCTAGCGGGGTTAATTTAAATGCAATGGGGACCTGGCTGCCTAAGGGGAAGGATTTCCCTGAGATAACGATGTCGTAGTGCAATTGGTCTTCCCAGTTGCGAGAAATAGCGATCGGCTCGACCTGTTCCAAGGAGCCCTCCGCCGGCGTGCGAATGACCGGCACTTCAAGATTACCTAGGAGATTGGGTCGAAACGCGCCTGATCGTTCCACGATGGCTTCCAAATCATACCGGACATATCCCAGATCTGTCTTGATAGTCTCTGGCAGGGAGCCATCGATCGGGAACTCGAAACTATACAAGTAATCACCGACAGGAAACATGCGGTAGTTGCGCTGTGGATGGGCGACTGCGCTAGGGGGAGGATCGTTCTTCCCGAAGCTGCGAGAGTGATTGGATTGAAGAGAAAGGCGTTTTAGCTCCTTACTCGTAGGCTGACCATTACTGAGAGAGGTTGAGGATCCAGATTTCGAGAAGATTTCGCGAGTAACAGTTACTGGGCTACCATCCTTTCCAGTAACGGAGGTCACTGGTTTAGCATGCTGATAAAAGTTTGCTCCGTAGTCGTTCGGCGTCAGAACCGAATCACCGTGATTGAAATATATCATACAATGGGTGACCAGGTCCTTCTTATCATGGTAATGTACCTTTTTAGGTGGTATTCCTGCAGAGAGGCAAAGTCTAGTCAGCGTGCGCATTTAGAAAATCATATTAACAACAGTTGTTGGAACCCACCTTCGGGCCAATCGGTTTGTGCATGTCCACGGAAGCAGATCGATATCTTCTTAATCTTAACGCTTTTGGTGACCTTGAGATGCAACTGGCCACGTAAAATGGCTGATTTCTTTGTGCTTGGGTCATTCTGGTCGTATCCCTGCAGGTATATCACAGGCTCCGTGAGGGCAATACCCACTGTGATACCACTTCCTGTTGCAACAATTTTCTCGTGACGTAGCGTCGGAAATGGCCCCATTGAGTCCGATGATGGCGCACTCGTTACGGACCCCGCAGAGGACTGATTTACCGATCCGGTAGAAGAGGAGTGGGAGCGCATTCTACCCGTTCCTAGACCGGCTCCTAAACTAGCAGAGGCGAGCATTCGTGCATCTTCGCGAGACAATACGATCTCGGAGACCGGACGAGGACGCTGTGTACGGGACATCGAGCGGATCGATGGTGGCGACTGGGCGCGGACGGAACCCCCCAGGCGGAGGAAACGCTTTGCGTTCTCGCGTGGACCCGCCAACTTCCTAAAAATTGAAGCGCGGCGATTGGTCTGTTTGGGGAAATTGGCGCCAACGACGGCCGATGGGTCGACTGACCGACGATGTTCCGCGCTAGCACTTGTATGACCGGACGATAAAGATTCCGGGGCACTGCAATGTATTTGGGCGACCGGGCTTGTGGTTGTGACCGATGCCGAAAGGTCCTGCTGCAGAGGAGTAATATGAGCGGTTGTCATCGTGAAAGATACCAATTCAATGCATAATTGATTTGGAAAAATTTTTATTTTCAAAGGAAGAAACAATTTCGGATCATCGACGTCTCAGTGCTTTTTAAATGAAAACGGAAAAGGAAGGGAGAGATGGGGCTAAACTGAAACGAGCCTCACTTTTCTAAGGCAGTTTCAAAAGAAAGGAAGCGAAGCAGGGCTGAAGAAAGAGAAACACTGGATTGAAAGGTGAAAAAGGATATAAAAAGAACGAAGAGAGAAAGAGCCAGACAGGGAAGTAAGTAAATGAATGACTTACCCTGTACTCCGTCCTCGGCGGCTCACAACAAGAACAAGGGTTGAAAACAAAAAAAAGCAAAAACCTAAAAGTAAATATGAGGTACCAGATATTTTCAGGCCTGAGAGTTTAAAAAAAGTGCAGTCGTGACGCGCATTCAATGCGACCAGCTGGGGGCCCTTTCAATTCTTTTTTTTTTTTTTCCCTCCTTTTTTTATGGTTACGGTCCTCCGTTTTTATTGCAGTCTTTTCCGTTTTGGCAGATGATCGACCGGCCGAACGCAAGGGAGCAGACACACGGGGCGGTACGAGGAAGAAAAATGCGGAGAGTTTGGGTGTTGTGAGGGAGAAAAAGAGAAGTACTCACGGAGTACCGTTGACAAGAAGAAATAAATTGATAATTGGAGATGAATGACAGGATGATCAGTTCGTAGCAAATGATCAACCAAGGGACAAGTCCAGAAGGGCCGATAAATTGCGGGGAGCGAATGTTCAGTCGTTGTCCTTGTCCGTTTAACACTAAATCAATCGCCCAAAGCCAATGCGATGACCATAAAGAGTCAAGACACACACTCCGATGGCGACCAGACCGACTGATGACGGCACCGATCCGGCGACAAGAATGAGGCGGTGCGCTTTGATTCCTTGGGCACAAGACACTGTCGAGCAATAAGAACTTCAAACAAGGTGAAGGGGAAGAGAACAGCAAATTACAGAGAAAAAGGTGCAGGGAACGAATGATTTGAATAAGATTTCAGACGATGACGCGGAGTGGTTCGTTGTAGCCGGCGATCCGTGGATAATGATTTAAACTGCTTGCTCTCGACTAGTAGTTCATCGAACGACGGATTCCCTTGAAGCTCGTTTTCCCTCGTCCCCAACTATTTCGTCTCATTGGACTTTTACTGGTACGCTAAAGGGAAATCCTACCGGTTAGTCAATTTTAGGTTGTATTTTGTGTTTTTATTTTTATGTTATGTTATTAATTTTTTTTTCTAATTTTAATTTTTAATTTTCTTTTATTGTCTCATGTTAATAACCAGGAAGCTATGTTGTTGTCTTCTCCCGTTGAGAGTGCAAGGAGTATCACGGAGTAGTAAGTAAGTAATAGTAATAATATGCCTCGTGGTTCTACCCGACATCTTTTCACAGCCATATAACTCAATCTAATGTCCGATCTTGCTCTCCAGTTGTATCTCCTATGACGCGATAGGGAAATTGAAGAGCATGTGACAGCGATCTCTTGCATCCTTCATGTAATTTAAGTACTTGGTACTAGTAGTAGTCTATACAGTACTCCTCTCAGGTAACTCGGAGCAGTACTTCCACAAAGTTTTCACAGGAGAAGAACTCGGAGGCGACTTGGACAAACCCATTCCCATATTGGATTAGGTTTTCTTCCCAAGTCGGTTAGAGTCAAGCGCGAACCAAGTCCCTTTGACAACCTAAATTTGGGAGGGTGATGACGTTTTATCATCGATTTCCTCGGTGCCGAAAAAGCAGAGACCAAACATGGTGGCTAGATTCATCCATCCATGGCGGATATTACGGCACCACGGGATCAAGAGCCTATGTAAGACAGTAACCTCCGCGGACGAAAGGACAAATTAAATTAGATAATATAAAATAAAAATAAATGAAAAAATATGACGGGGCGAAGAGAGGGTCTGAGAGTCCATCTGTCAAGCATTTTCGGCACTTTGACCTGTCGTGTGTGTGCGGGGATGCGTCTCCAGTGAGCGTGTGATTCATAACTGCAGCGCAAATCGAATAGTGATATCATAAGAGATGCATCACTTTCATTTCGGACGCCTCGTTCATCATCAATCTGGTCTAACGCTATTATGCTCTTACTACTCACTTGTCTCATGGATTGTTAGAAGTACACAGTAGTTAGTCATGTCGATCCCGTTAGTCATGGCAAATCAAACCGCGTTGGGACCTTAATGAGAGTCTGGATAGTTATGTTACATCGTTGGTACTTTTGGTAAGGCGAGTACGGAACCAGCGGGGCAAAAAAAAAAAGAAAACAGAGAGAGGCAAGGTTTAGCTTCATCTTGGACAAAAGAAAAAAAAGTAATGAAAGGAAATCCAACGTCTAGTTTGTGTGTTAAAAAAGAAAGAAAAAAAAAAAAAAAAAAAAAAAAGGAGCAGAGAGAAGACGGCAGAAGAACGCTAGAATCAAATGCTTGACGGTCTGATAGTTATGGTGGATCAAGTGCATTAGTTAATCGCTTAATAAAGTCCCTCGTTTTGGACCATTTTGAAGATGATTTAAGACATTAATTGACGAGAAGATTTTCACTGTTGTATAGAGGCAGGAGATACACAGTAGATGAGGTCGCATAATTCCGCCAGATTGGAATGAAGGAATTGCATTCCATTCCAGGATTGTGCAATTATTTTCCGAAGATGAGTTAATCTGTTTTCTAGAAGCCGAGAGTGATTTGATCCCCCACGAGATATCCACGAGCCAATGACCTCATAGAATGTTCATAGAATGTTTATGCCCAACTCAGGGCAGTTTGTGCCTTAAGCCACTCTTAATTCCAAAATAAACACGAACGGTTTGGGAATAGTTTCATTCTCTCTTTCTTTTCCCCTCTTCCTTTTTCTTTCCCCAAAACTATTTTACTTCCCTCACCAACCTCAACCCTCAATGGCAGTGCTCAATTCAGAAAACATCACAAAACCACGCATATCCGAACGTACACGAAGCCCCTTGGGGCGGTTTTACGTAGCCAACAATGTTACGCGACCTGTGACCCAAGCGAACATGCCTGCTCAGCCTTGTGGCTCCGGTAGAGTTTATCTCACTTAGAGTTGATATTACATTCTATGTAGATCGGCTAAAGTGACGAACTATCATTACGTTTTCAGGTACGACCGTCACCCCTTGCATGAACCTTGCCATGTGTCTCGGCGAGTGAGGGGAGACGAAGGTCGATAACCAAGTAGAGTTTCCTCATTCCCCTTCATGAAACGTTGCCTATAACCGATAATCATTGCCATTATCCATGAGTGGTAACCCCCCCAACCAAAAAAAAAAAAACCTCTCCCGTTCGGCCGTAGGATAAGAGTCACCCCTAAGTAAACCAGCTGTCATCGAGCTCGTTCATATTCATCAAGCTATCGCCTTCCAGCATGCTAGGGTCTCCCACGTCTCCACTTCCAAAATTCTCATTATCCATGAACAAGTCATCGAAGCTAGATTCGCCCGGAGCCATAATATCTTCAGTGGTGTTGCCTTGTTGCCCTTCTGGGGCCCCGTTTTGGGCGGAAAATGCCTCGGTCTTCTGCAATTCTAGGTCGAACATATCCCCCCCAGTTGGGATGTTGGCCGTACCAGTCTCCAAACCAGGGACTTCAGCTATCGCGTTCCCACTTTGGTCAACCCCCTTCTCCTGCTCAGTGGCGCCAGTTGTATTTGTAGTACCAAGGTTGGATCCCGACAAGAAGTTCTCGTTCCCAAGGTCGTCATCCCCAAAGTCTAAGTTTAGATCGAAGTCATTCGCCCCACCAGTATCATCGAGAACTGAATCGAAATTGATCTCACTGGGCCCAGGCTGAGATTGATTGGGACCAACCGCAACAGATTCGGCTGGTTCCTCTTCTTTCACAAGGGTTTCACTAGTGTTCTGCTGACCGGCATCGACGCTTGTATGTGATTGCACGGCGTCAGCCCTGGATAGTTCTGATTGGACTTGACTTGTGTCAACTGCTGTTGCCTCCACCTGTGGCGCAGCTTCGGGGTCTTGTATGGTCTCTGATTGACTCATAACAACATCTTCGGCTGGTTGCAGTGCTGCCTTTTGGGCTGCAATCGCCTCGTAGTCCCTCTCCAGGAACGTCTTGGCAATGAACTAATGTTGGTCAGTAAGATCAGCGAACCATGTGTCTCCGTTGGTCTACGGAAGTGTAAAACACATACGATCTGCTCGGAAAGATTGTCCAGTGCACTTTGAAATTGCTCATGAGCAACAGGAAGTGAACGCTTGAGTTGGGCCCTGGATTGCGTAGAACCCCCTGATCGGAAAAAGCGGCCGGTTTCGATAAGCTGAGGAGGATCAGTGCTTTTGTGCTACAATAAACTTGTCCATGAGGGGCATTACCGTTTGATTAACCATTGCCGTTAAGACGGCCAGAGAATCTGGATTTGAAAGATCCGAAGTAGCCATAGCCACTGTGGCAGTATCGCGTCGTATTGGATATAATCTGCTAGAGGATGATGACTGGATGAAAGCAGAAGATACGAACTACTCAGGCTAAGGGGTTCCCTAAGGGGTTCTGTTAGTTGATCAAGCCAGGTCCACAGCTGACGCAAGTTGTAACAGGGGTCCCTGAAAACCTGGAATGAGACGGGAGATACATCAAACGCAGCAGCTCCAATAGCACTTCCGCGACACGGGAGTACCAGCTGAGGCAGGTACTAGGCACTACTGGTTTCTGAGACCACACGAGACCAATGGAAAGACCATGAGGAGTAGGCACTTTTGACGTTCTGCACAAAGGAGAAAGAATATCATTACCTACCACAAGAGCGGACCAAAAGACCCTGGGCTAATGTTTTCGAACGATAGGTCGAATTGATGAGCAGTGGAGGAATTAAGCGCTTTACCTGAATGGATTCAATGGAAAGCGACCCGTCAAGGGAGGACTAACGCAAAGGGGATTAGTGCGCCCCTCACCCCAAGCGGCTCTTGACCATCCAAACTCCTCGTTCTTTTCTCCATTCAGACTCCCGTCAAGTCAGATCATCGCAGCTTTTCTTTTCCCCTGTTTCCATTTCCATTTCATTTCATCTCTCACGCTGTCCATCGCACTTTTCGCTGGCGTCGAGACCTGAGTGATTGGGGTTTTCTTCCCTTTTTTTTTTTGCTTTCCTATCTCTTTTCTTTCCTATTTCTTTTTGCATCCATTTCCTCCAGCTCTCGTGTTTTATCCCCCCGAATCTTAAGCTTTTTTTCCACTTGTTTAACTTGTTGGGGAGAAAGCCGTGTTTTGAGTCGTCTGGATTCTAGCGCTTCTTCATCCGTCACGAAGCTGTTGCCTCACCCTTTCTCTAATTTCTTTTCTTTTTCCTGTCGTTATTTTTTGACGACTGCGCTTCCTTGTATGCTCCACTAATTTCCTTTTCCTTTTTCTCTCCCTTTTTTCCCTTTTCTTTTCCCTTCCCTTCCCTGTTTTGTCCTTTTGGTTCTTCTGGGCGTTAGATCCCCGCGTCGCTTTCCGCCTTTCGACCTTAAACCAATTCGGTGACTGCGTAACGTTCTGCATCGCCCCGTCCTCAAAAGATTCTCATCACTCACCCTCACCCATTAAGCGCTACCAACATTCATTGACTTGTGCATTATATTGTTTCAGTGATCAGTTTCCTTGTATATTGTGGCCTGTGACCTTGCAACAATGGCTGATAACGTACCCGCCCAAACTCCTTCGACTCTCCCTCCGCCTCCGCAGACCTCTGCTGCTCCAGGCCAGCAGTACGACGGGACTCAGGGCAACGGCCAGGCCAATCCTTCCCATATGCCGCCGCCCCCTCGCCCTCCGGTTGTGATTCCGCAGAATACCAATCCTATTCCCACGGCGATCACCTCTCCGATGTCTGGAAACATGATGTCCCCAACCAGCGCCGGCGGGTATGTGCGCCGGGCTGCCCCAGAGCCAAACAAGAGAGCTCTTTATGTTGGCGGTCTGGACCCCCGGGTCACTGAGGATATCTTGAAACAAATTTTTGAGACTACTGGACACGTTGTCAGCGTTAAGATCATTCCTGATAAGAACGTGAGTTCTGTGCGTCATCGGCATCTCTGTAAACCGCTCAAGGTACATCAACTTACGTACTAACTCCCGCAGAAGTTCAACAGTAAAGGATACAACTACGGCTTCGTTGAATTTGACGATCCTGGCGCTGCTGAACGAGCCATGCAAACTCTCAACGGGCGCCGCATTCATCAATCGGTATAGTCATTCGAGCCACCTATACGTTCTAGAACCATCTCTGACGGGATTTGCAGGAAATCCGTGTCAACTGGGCTTACCAGTCCAACAGCACGAACAAGGAAGACACCTCGAATCACTTCCACATTTTCGTTGGAGATCTGAGCAACGAAGTTAACGACGAAATCTTGCAACAGGCCTTCTCAGCCTTCGGTTCAGTTTCCGAGGCGCGTGTCATGTGGGATATGAAAACTGGTCGGTCCCGTGGTTATGGTTTTGTTGCCTTCCGCGACCGTGCGGACGCAGATAAAGCTTTGGGATCGATGGACGGCGAGTGGCTCGGGTCTCGTGCTATTCGCTGTAACTGGGCGAATCAGAAAGGACAGCCCTCCATTTCTCAGCAACAAGCGATGGCGGCCATGGGAATGACTCCGACAACGGCTTTCGGTCATCATCATTTTCCTACTCATGGCATTCAGAGCTACGATATGGTTGTCCAGCAAACCCCACAGTGGCAGACCACGTGCTATGTGGGTAACCTCACCCCTTACACCACGCAGAACGACCTTGTCCCGCTGTTCCAGAACTTTGGTTATGTTCTGGAAACTCGTCTTCAAGCAGATCGGGGATTTGCGTTCATCAAGATGGATAGTCACGAAAATGCCGCTATGGCTATCTGCCAGCTCAACGGGTACAATGTTAACGGGCGTCCCCTGAAGTGCAGCGTATGGTCTTCCCTACTTCTCGTAATTTGATGTCGTTTGGCTAACTGTCGTAGTGGGGTAAGGATCGTCCTCCTACTGGCCAGTTCGACAACTTCTCTGGTCAACAGGGCAATTCACCCTTTAACAACAGCCCAGCCCCGTATTTCCCTCAGTACGGCGGACCCGGTGGACCTATGACTCCTCAAGGTGAATTTGCTCCTATCCTTTATTAAACTTTCGGTTTTATGACTAACATCGTAAACCGTAGGTCCCAACCCGGCTGGAAGAGGCTGGGATCAGTCCGGAATGGGCGGTCAAAACTATGGCCAGGTCCCAGGAAATGCAGGCTATGGCCGCGGACAAGCTGCTCCTGCCTCTGGCTGGAACCAGGCCAACAACGCTAATTTTGGGAATGGCTTTGGAGGCTACCAAGCGTAGCCTATCGTCCAGTATACTTCGCTGCATGCCGGCCCTATCGAACGTTCCTCGGATGGACAATCGAGTATAAACAGGGCTGGCTGTGTCAACAACTTTGTTAAGAAGAGGCTCCTTCCTTCTCCCTTTCTACTTTTCTCCTCTCCTTTCCCTTCCCGTTTAATTTCTTCGTACTACCACATTGTTTCCATCTTTTATTTTTTACCGTGCTCCCTTTTTCATGATTGTCCCTTACTAAGTGGATTTCTAAGCGCATCTCCCATTCTCAAATGCTTCTCTTTGAAATGAAATTTGTGTGTTATCGTACACCCAATACCCCGAGTCCACTTCGTTGAGTCAATTTTCTCATGCTCTTTGCTTTCCATGAATGTGCGCTACTTTTATTAAGAGCTTCTTGGACTTTCGATTCAAGCGTTCTGCGGAATAAACTAAAAGTACCTATTCTTGTTTCCTTATGTCTCTGACCCCTATCTATTTTGGATTATTATTTCTTGATAAGTCGCTTTCTATGAGTTTGTATCGTATTCGTTTAGTATGTATGCCTGGCCTATGAATGGGCCCTTGCGTCTCTACGCTCACATGCCAAATTCCTCTTCTGGTTTGATAGCGGTCTTGCTTTCTCATCTATTCAGTGACCTTTCTCGTTTCAAGTTTATCAATACCTCGCTAACAAGCTTAACCTGTCCCCGGGATCCCGAGGCCCCTCTATGCGTTGCATCTCGTCAGTACTTTTTCTCATGCTTACTTTATGATACCATTCTTGAGACCATTGTTGTCCTCGTCCAGATTACGACTTGATGCCCTGGAGTTTCGGATATCTTTTCTCTTTTACTGCCTTGGATCAATTAGTTAGCAGACATATGACAGCTATCAGCAACAAGTACAATATTGAGAACGGCTGTTGTATGAATAATGACTTGATCTTTTTCTTCCACGGTAATTCTCTAAGAAGTAGCGGTTACCATCAGAATAGTTCTGTCCAGGAAAGTGCTGTCGAACGATTAGAATACATATATCGGCAATGGTTCGGATAACCTGACCGAATCCCATGGGTGAATAATACTTTAAAAGAAGGTACCGCCTCGGAGGCTCAGCTGGCTTGGCTCGGGCGCCGTCACTCCCCCCTTCGTCTCTCCATAACCATCTTGCTTGATGGAATCTGCCAACACCAACCACTGAAACGTACAATTCTAGAAACTTAAATCTGGATGTCGGTGGCTAATGGCCAGCTGAGCTAATAACGCCCAGCTTGCGCTAATGGAAGATGCAAGCGACAACAGCAGAGAGACACTATCGTTGGATAACGATGATCAGCTCTCCGGACGGACGCGCTCAGAGAGCGCAAGCAGCGGACACAAGCGCAACTCATCCGGCTCACTATTATCCAAACTTTCTTTCCTACGCATGATACAAGCGACTCATAACACCCCAGAGCGGGCTCATTCCGGCATCGACCGGGATGATAGCGATGGTTTTGGTTCCAGTGTACGGGGAGGCAGAGCAATGGCTAGCGCGCTACAGCAGCGAAGAACGCGAAGGAGGAGGGGCTCACTACGCAAAACCGCCCTACTAGGCACGCGATTCGAATATCGAGATAAAAAGGCCACACGAGCACCGATCGACATGCCACGGGGAGATATTATCGGACAACAGCAACAGCTTGCCACAGGCTCACGAATGCAACAACTGTTACCTGTCCCGGTTTCCCCGGACCAGAATATCGCACCCCACAGAAATACGGAACAAGATAATCGTCAGGATGATATGGCATGGGAAGGTTTCATGAATGCGTCGCCAAAGTCACTGGATCAATCCGCTCACCATCACCGGCAGAACCGCTCCCAAAATAGTATTCTTGGCGGAGAGATAACTACCGATGATGAGGATATTGTGTCTTTCCCTCGTGCGAAAAATACAAATGCCGCTGTTGCTGCAGCTGCAGGCCTACATCTTCAATCTGCTTCTTCGAGCTCGGATTCCTATTATGCGCTTTCGGCAGACTCAACGTACCGAGCTATGCATCGTACTAAATCTCCTCTTGCGACGCATGCGGTTGATATAACTAGTAGTCAGGATATGAACTGGGATTACTCAGAAACGGAGTGGTGGGGCTGGATTATCCTGATAGTGACATGGCTTGTTTTTGTCGTGGGAATGGGCAGTTGCTTTGGTGTCTGGAGCTGGGCTTGGGATGTTGGAGAAACTCCTTATGCGCCTCCCGAGCTTGAGGATGATCCGACACTCCCCATCATTGGGTATTATCCTGCTCTGATTATTTTGACGGCCGTTATGTCGTGGGTGTGGGTTGTAGTTGCATGGGTGGGTATGAAATATTTCAAGCATGCCAATATATCGGGTGACGATACATAATGTCTACCATACTTGTGTAATACCATTTCTTTTCCTTTTTTTTTTCTTTTTTCTTTTTTCTTTTTTGTCTTGTAATGTTTCAAACGCCACGATGCCAGACATAAAACTCAAGACACCCAATGTGAAAACCTAATTTCTAATTATAACCCCGAAGAGACCCCGTCAAGAAGGTTATGTGTGCTAAAATTAAATGATGTACCCCGTATCAGCGACAAGAATGAAGAATATCCCAACCCAATACCAACGCCAATGACCTCAATTGTTGGGTAATCATTAAGTCCAGCTTAATACCTTGAAGCATGCGAAAGCCCTCAATGTGAAATTGCACATTTGTTAGCGAACTCTAGTTGATGCTGGGCTAGTCCTCCGGCGTGATCGTCTACTCTAGCACCATTGACGCTAATTGTAGGAGCCTTCGACTCAGTGTTCTGAGGTTGGACTGTTGTACCAGGGGCCGTGCTAACGAGGCCCTTCGACACAGCATAGCAGGATGAGCGGTCCTGGTTCAAGTCCTCGCTGTAGAACTCATCCATGATGGGATGTAGAAGGACCGTCTGCTTATGTATAGTGACAACCGAGTTCGCGGGAACCGAAACCCAATTATCTATAGAAGTTAGCCCTCAATACTGTGGACTAAGTAGGATGTAACTCACGTCTCTCAAACGTAATCGGCTCACTTGCCACCAGGACAATGTCGGCTCCCTTATCGTGACGTTCCATCTTGAAGTGACCTTTGACCTTTCCTTCCTTCCATTTGGTACCTGATGAGAAGTACAAACTGGCAGGTTCATCCGTCTTGCTGCTGATATACCGCGTACAAACCACCGTATGGCCATCCGTCACGGCAAAATTGAGCAAGCTGCGGGTCTCAATACCAGAAACATTATGTCTCTTGGGTATATCCCGAATGAACTCATTGATCTTTGCAATAGTCTTAACCATCACCCGTCGCAGGAGCGCCTGCCCGAAGCCCTCTGGTCCGGGATCCGAGCTCGGATCAACGCCCTCCTTCTCCAAGAGGTCAAGGAACAACGCAAAGGCCCATTCGCTATCAGTGCCGCCTTTCACGCCCAGATACCAGCGATCCGCGAGCGAATCGCCCAGTGGCCGCTTGATATACTGCCAGCCACCAACATTACCGTTGTGCATCCACATCAACGTATTGTGTTGGAACGGGTGACAGTTGTTATCTGATAGAGCTCCTTCTGTGGTTGCGCGGACATGCGCGAAGATCAGATTGGAGCAAGTTTTGGATGCTAACCGCTCGAGATTCTCACAGTTCCAGGCTGGGAGTGTGGATGTGAAAATACATGGCTCTGGGCCGAGCTTCGGGTCCGTATAGAACCCTACTCCGAAGCCGTCGCCATTTACTGGACGGCGGTTGTCCTGTAATCAGCGAGTTAAATTATGTTTACTTATACAGGAAGGGCTGCATGAAGTCTCCAGGTTATGATTCATGTTGCTACTCACCAGTCTAAGACGGGAATCATATGATTGAGTCAGAATCGAATGACTGGGCTCTGTTACTAGTTTGCTGAGACGGATCTCATGTCGGCCCTTGTATACCTAGTGAAAATAGCGGTCAGTTGTATGACGCATAGATATAGTATAGATTGATTTACCAGAAAACGGCACATGACGGGAGAAGTGAAACCCTCTCTAGAGGAGCTTCTATGTTTGCGACCAGGAACTCAACGATAAAAACGTTTCCAAGAAAGGGATATAGCTACGTAGCCGGAGTACGGTGTAGTAGCAAATCTATTGCCCGGCGGCCGAAGTCGCACCTTCTGGAGAGGTTTAAATATGGGGTTTATTCCACGATTGACAAAGGTAAACCCCAGCAAACACTAAACAAATATAAAACAGCCGAAGTATAGAATTGATTCAATTCAATAAATACAAAGGATCTTCAGGAGTTATATATATAAAAATAAGTACGTCTGTGCTTCAGTAGTACCTAAAGCGTCAATGTCGCCATTTCATCCACACGTGACTCACACCGACTTTATACGGACGGCGAAGCGGCCATTGGCGCAGGTCACGAGGTTCTCCGTGCCGGGGTTCGCCTTCGCGTAGGACCGTTTGATGACATCCGATCATTTTGTGCTCTGCTATTGTCCGACGCACCAGCAACCTCAGTCTAGTGCCGTGGCTTCTAGCCCGGAGATGACCAATTTTATCCTTTCAATCCGCTTGATGTGTATGCGATTTCGGGAACCATGAGCGGGAGAATCCTCTCCCACCGTCTTGTTCCGCTCTTGCGGACGGGCTTTTTGGCCCGCCATGTTCATAACGCTGGTGCAAGAACCGGAGGTCTTCTACGTTCAGATGGCAGCGCCGCACTTCGAGGACGCGCCTGGCCTGTCGGTGCGAACTCGATTCATAATGTCCCCGCTGTGCGGGGGATCTCTTTTGCAAGGATCCTTCCGAAGCTGGCCCTAAAATTAGTGAAGGTGCCCGCTATGCTTGGAACGGCTACAGTAGCTGGGTTAGCTTATATTCAATATCAAACTACACGTACGTTTTTATCTTCCAATCATAAGACCTATCCATCTAACTTTCATGACTACTATAGAGGCAGGAAACTATGCTATTGACGTGTTGAAACGCGCGGGGGAATCGGCCGGTGACGCTGCTTCATCCATTTTCTCCGAAATCCAAAATGTGGCCGAACAGACACAGCGTGGCTGGCAAAGGACTACAGATAGCGTGGAAGTCCCTGAATGGTTGCAAAACGTTCTAGGTTTCAGTGAGGGTTCCCAAAACGACGGTTCCGGGGGAGGGCAACCCCCAAGAGAAAGCCGGGCCGGTGCTGCTGCAGCTGCTGGAGCGGCAGCTGTAGGGTACGACCAAGATGACGAGCACGCCCGATTGACCAGGAATGCGGAAGACGACCAGATGATGCTTCTTACTCGTAAAATGATCGAGATCAGGAACATACTTCAAGCCGTTGGTCAATCCAACACACTCACATTGCCATCGATTGTGGTCATTGGTTCACAGTCATCCGGCAAAAGCTCCGTTCTCGAAGCCATCGTCGGACATGAATTTCTTCCCAAAGGCTCGAATATGGTTACCCGGCGGCCGATCGAACTTACTTTAGTCAATACTCCCCACGCACAAGCAGAATATGGAGAATTTCCAGCCCTCGGTCTAGGAAAGATAACCGACTTTTCTTCGATTCAACGCACCTTAACCGACCTTAACTTGGCAGTCCCTGAGAGGGAATGTGTCAGTGACGACCCGATTCAACTTACCATCTATTCTCCTAATGTTCCCGATCTTTCCCTCATTGATCTCCCAGGCTATATCCAGGTTTCCGGTCAAGGTCAACCTCCGCAGTTGAAGCAAAAGATCTCTGATCTATGTGACAAGTACATCCAAGCGCCAAATGTTATCTTAGCTATATCTGCGGCAGATGTTGATCTTGCCAATTCGACAGCATTGAGAGCAAGTCGCAGGGTAGACCCTAGGGGTGAAAGGACCATCGGTGTCATCACAAAGATGGACCTTGTTGACCCGGAACGTGGCTATAGCATTCTTACTGATAAGAAATACCCCCTTCGCCTGGGCTACGTGGGTGTGGTCTCGCGAATCCCCCAGACGACCGCTCTGTTTTCCTCTCGGGGAAGTGGCAACATCACGAGCGCGATCATCAAGAATGAAAATGCCTATTTCTCTTCTCATCCATCTGAGTTTGGGCCTCAGTCAGAGGTGTCGGTTGGCGTTGGAACCTTGCGAACCAAACTTATGCATGTTCTTGAACAGACGATGGCATCTAGCCTAGCGGGTACTAGGGACGCTATCAGCCAGGAACTGGAAGAAGCGACGTACGAGTTCAAGGTTCAATATAATGATCGTCCGCTGAGCGCAGAGTCGTATCTCGCCGAGAGCCTGGACAGCTTCAAGCACTCCTTCAAGGCATTCGCGGAAAACTTTGGCCGTCCTCAAGTGCGTGAGATGCTGAAAAATGAGCTTGATCAACGCGTCATGGACATCCTCGCTCAGAGATATTGGAACAAGCCAATTGACGACTTGAATCCTCCGATGGTTGAGTTGGACCCCCTCATTGACCTTCCCAAGGCCGATCCGGAGTCAATGTATTGGCACCGCAAGCTCGACGCGTCGACTTCTTCTTTGACCAAACTGGGAATCGGCAGGCTTGCTACGACTGTTGTTGCGAATGCAATCCAGAACCATGTTGAGTCATTGTTGGCCAACTCTACCTTCGCCTCTCACCCATATGCTCAAAAGCAGATCGTGGATGCTTGCAGTAGCATCCTGAATGATCGATTCTTCAGCACTAGCGATCAAGTCGAGAACTGCATCAAGCCTTATAAATACGAAATTGAAGTTGAAGATCCAGAGTGGGCGAAGGGAAGGGAAAACATAACAAGAGTGCTTAAGGAGGAGCTCAAGGCGTGTGAAGCGGCTTTGAAACGTGTCGAGGACTCCGTTGGTAGGAGAAAGATCAAGGATGTGATGTCATTTATAGACAAGGTCAGGAAAGGCGAAGTGGTCTTGGAAGGCGACGGCGCTGGTGGTGCAGGTGGATTCAGTTCTGCCCTCCTAGCCACAGGTATGTCTACGTCCCCTATGCTACCAATATATACTTGAATCTAATCAAAAATAGGTCGTGAAAGCGCCTTCCTGCGCGATCGGGCTGATCTCCTCAAGATGAGACTTCTCGCCGTCCGCTCCAAGCAATGTTCCAGCAAGAAGAACAAGTACTACTGCCCCGAAGTCTTCCTCGACGTCGTCGCAGACAAGCTCACCTCAACCGCGGTACTATTCCTCAACGTCGAGCTCCTGTCAGAGTTCTACTACAACTTTCCCAGAGAACTAGACATGAGACTAGGCCGTCACCTCTCCGACGCAGAAGTAGAACGCTTCGCCCGCGAGGACCCTCGCATCCGGAGACATCTCGACGTGATCAAGAAGAAGGAACTCCTCGAACTAGCCCTGCAAAAAATCGAAAGCATCCGCCAGTTGGACGGTCGCAGCAAACATAGAAACGCCGACCGCCCTCTGTCCAAAGAGCAGAGAAACCGTGGCTGGAACCTGTTCTAATTGAATAGACCCCTTCCTCCACTACCTACTTACTACTTCGCTCCCTCTCCATCCTTCCTTTCATAGCTCCCGACACATTATATTCTCTTCGCCTTCTCTCTCTCTACCCCTCTTACTTAGCTTCCTGTATACCATACCACCAATAGGGTCTGTTTATAGCTCAAGAATCACTTCAGGATAGGCGTTAGCACAGCGAGTGCTTGGTTTATTCATTCTTTTATTGTACCTCTCTCCCTTATCAGAAGTTCATGTGAAACATTATCTTGCATCGATAGAAATATCTACCTTCTACATAATGCAAACCTACAACCTAGCTCAAGATGACAAACTTCAACAATTAAAAGAGCAGTAATTCATAAAACACCAAACGATTTCCAAACGCAATGGAAAGAACCGTATTTATACAATATAATAATACACATCCCTAACCACGATATATGTCAACGATTTAAAGATAGGAAAAATTAAAGGAGATAAAAAAAGATGAACAAAGGAAAGAATATAGAATGATTATGGCCAAATCTAACAAATCTAAATAAACAGTAACCCCACAACCGGTCTATCTAATTCGTACACAGAGATAAAGATTAATGCTTTTTGTTCTTCTCTTTCTTTTTTCGTCTCCAGCATGCCTTGGTTATTATCCTTCAAGGCGGGTCCCGTGGGGATATCAAGTGGGACCTTCTAGACAGATGTGGAAAGAGGGAGATGGGCATTGGCGGAGTGGATGATGAGTGTCCCATTCATTTACAATGGGGAGGAGATAAAGAAACGAGAAAAGAGAGATGGTAAAGGGTCATGTGAACGGGCATCAAAGGTAGAACGGTAGAATAAACGGGGAAAAAAAGAATTGTCGCTCCGAAATCGTAGACGTAGCATATCTGCTGTTTTTGGTGATACAGTTGGTTCCAAATCTATTTTTGCGAGATTGATTTACTCCCGAGAGACGTCACGGCCGAACATCTTAGCCTTGATCCAGTCGACGGCGACCAGGACACGGTTACGAGCTATTTCGTGTGTTAGCATGGGTACATTGTTGTTCAGGTATGTGCAAGGGGTCACTTACTGCTGAAGCACATGCTCAGATAAGCGCTGCGCCAGAAAAGGTAGGTCATGGTACCACCGCTTGCGATATTGCCGCTCAGCCAGCTGATGTCTGCAACCGCACGCTCCTTTCCAATGTAAGCCAGACTTCCCTGGTGGGAGTACTGGAAGGGGCCAATCTGCTTGGTCCTGCGCAATTGCTTCTGGCGTTCGCGGATCTCATCGAAGATCTGGTTGCGCTCTTCAGGGCTCTTGGCCTGTGCTTGAGACTCCGACAGCCGCTTCAGGTCATCCTCGATCGCCTCGGTCTTAGCCATAGTGTTGAAGAGACGAGCAAGGAAAGCACCCTCCTGGCCAGCAACCTGAGCAGTGGGGGCATAGTTGGTGATGGCGCAGTCACCGACGGCCCAAACGTTCTCCGCACCGTTGACGACAAGGTATTCGTTAACAGCAAGACCACGGCGCGAGTTCTTCTGGGCGGGGAGCTGGCTCATAAGGTCCCGGACAACAGGGCGGACGGCGTTACCGGTAGCCCAGACCAAGAGGCCGTAGGGGATGGTTTCAAGTTCCTTGGTTCCATCAGGCTTAGTGACCTCAGCCTCGATGTACTTATCAGTCACGTTCTTGACCATGGTCTTGGTGCGGATGGTGATAGCTTCCTCCTTGAAGGTCGACTCGGTGTAGTCAATCAGTTGCTTGGAGAACATGGGAAGCACGTTGGGAAGAGCCTCAACGAGGGTGACCTTGAAGTTCTCCTTGATCTCAGGAACCCACTTCTTAAGATCCTCCTCGAAGAAGTCCTGGATCTCACCAGCGAACTCAACACCAGTGGGGCCACCACCGACAACAACCATGTGCAAAAGACGCTTGATCTCATCCTCAGTCTGGTCCTTGAAGATAGCCGTCTCGACACAGTCCATGATACGCGTACGGATCTTCTGGGCATCTCCGACCTCCTTCAGGAAGCAAGAGTGCTCCTTGACACCCTTAATGCCTATTAAATGAGCAGTCAGTGTTGGTTCCTTCGCTGGGGCTAATCTAGGTTACATACCGAAGGTTGCATTCTCAGCACCGACACCAACAACAAGCATGTCGAAAGGCACCTCAGTCTTGGAGATGTCACCTTTGATCTCGGAGTCGTCGCTAATGTACACGACACGCTTCTCGTAGTCGATCTTGGTCGCCTCGGCTTCGTAGAACTTGACGTAGGCATTCTTCTGGCGAGTGATGTTACGGATCGGCTCCATAATCGAGCGATGTTCGACCAAACCCGTGGTGCAAGAAGGCAACAGAGGGGTGAAAAGGAAGTAGTTACGGGGGGAGATGACGACGACATTGTAGTTCTCGGTATCCAGCTTCTTCAGAAGAGAAACAGAGCCCCATCCGGTACCTGCGCGGGGTTAATCGCATGTCCACATTGGGTGACCATATCAATGGTGAAGAAACAGGGTTTGAGGTAACCTACCCAGGATCACCAGGGTCTTCTTAGTAGGATCGGGCCCAATCTGCTCAATTGGATGACGGAGTTCATAGACGCTATACGCCACATAACCAGTGAGGCCGAGACCGGAGAGCAAGGTCAAGCGCCAGGCCCAGCGCAAGAACCTGAATCCTTTCTTGGGCTTCGGTGCGGGCGCGGCGTCAGCGTAAGAGCGGCGAGCAGTGCGCTGAACAGACTGCTGGGAGAAACCGCTGGATCTCAAGGGACGAGCGGAGCGAAGGGCATGAGGGCGCGTCGAGAGCGACCTGCGCGACAGCGACGACATGACCGATGGCGTAGCCATCTTAGACCGGATAGCAAGCGCACTTCCAACCATTGTCGGTTGTGGTCGCCCAAAATGGGGGAGGAGTGGAGAGGGAGAGGAGAGTTGAGAGGAGAGAGAAAGAGAAAGAATCTGGAAATTGATTTGGATTCCAATTGACAATTGAGTCAAATCAATTTCGTCAAACTAATAAAAAAAAAAAAAAGTTTTCGGAGGCGCTGGATCAGTGACGCGATAAGAAATTAGCTGTTTTGGGCGAATCGGTGTGTCAATGACTTGTACGCCTTGGAGCCTTGGAAGTTGGGTGTCTTTTCGACTCTTTCCAAGTTCCGCCGGGCTTATGCCTTCCCAATCAGGAGCTTTTCCGCGTCCTGTGAATGGGGCAAAAAAACTGGGTCCAAGGGAATTGCAGCCTGAGGATGCCGCCGGGCCAGACGCCCTCCCGATCAACTGGGTCCAGTTCCGATCCTAAATTTTTATTTTTTTTTCTATTTTTTTTTTTTTTTTTACACTCTTCCCTCTGGGATAATCGATTTTCCTGCAGGGTGTTGGAGAATGAGGGGGAACTTTCTGCTCGTGAGGAGAAGCACTCGAGAGTCGACACGCCTTGTGAGGGGAAAATTATCTGCAATGGAGATCCTACAGTGGGTATGAAGCTCTCTTATAACCAGTTCCCTACGCGGAAATGATGGATTCTCAACAAGGGTTCTTCCGTCCTTCTAGACCTTAACCGCCTGCACGTATGGACAGGGATTCTTATCTCAATGACGAACTGTAGTTACTATACGGAGTACTCCGTACCTACAATATATGCCGAGTATGTACTCGGTGCATCGGTGTATGTATGTATAATGTCGCATAACATACCTAGCTATCGGCATATGACTCAAACGTCTACCATCTTCCACTTCCTTAACCATTGATAATAATGTCGCGATCCACCCAATCCCACGTTCTCCTCATCAGCTATCCGAGCGTTCCCTTACGGTATCTCCTAAATTTCCTATTTAGGCGCATCCGCAATGTGCCCAATGCCAGCTGACTCAGAACTCATACCGCTGACGGTCCTTCCCGAGAACCAGCCGGGTTCACCCGCATCTAGACCTTCCCAGCTCCTTTTAACTAGACATCGAACAAATTCCGGATGAAAAGCGCCGTAAGAATCCGGGGAAACAGATCCACTCTCTAATCTTAGCTCCTCTACGTCCTTTCGTGGCGACTGCTTATTGATTTAGACTCTTTTCTGGAGCCTATCAACCCGAGTGGTCTGTGTAGCTCATACGTTTGACTCAAATCGATGTTTGGAGTGGCCAGTAACTTAACTCTACTCAGAGCAAACTCGGCATTGGTCCTATGTCCAATGTGACCTGTCAGGAGAGGAGGCCTCTCTCTCGCTTCAGTAACTTTCGGTGTTAGATCCTCAACCCGTCTGGCCACGTCAGGGTCCAGTCTAGACCAGTATGCTCCTTTGGGTGAGTGTATTCGAATATCAATGTGCATATGCTTTCAATCATTTCGGGTCTTAGCAATCATGCCATGAATATGAGGGAATTCTGTTCTTCCTGTGTCTTCCGGTTGGAGCGAGAAGACATTGCATGTGGCTAGCACATGATATCGGGCCGGGGAGCTCGAGTTTTGGAGAGACATGTAAATAGGATATTTTCATTATATCCATGTCTTTACTGTTTAGAAATGCTTGGCAATCGATGGTTAAACAGCATATCGAGTCGTATATAAGTGATGATATAAATGCCGCTTGTGATCAGCACGTTTCTTCAATTTGTCATGTTAGACTGCCCGGGGTCAGAATTGCTTGATTATATAACAGTTGTTTGTTTAGAAATGTGATAATGCCGTTGAGCTACCCTAGCTCAAGGACCGTGCTAGTACGAAATAAATAGGGCTACATTCTTATTGTATCATCTTCGAGACAACAATGATATAAAAAACGCAGAACTACATTGTGCACTAAAATATCAATTATGATAGGGTCAAAAAAGATTCAACATAGCAGGGAGATGGAAGACAAGGAAAAAAAAAAAAGCTAGTTGTCCCTAACATGTGCACCATGGAATCCGAAGCCAACCACACCATTAACTATAGCCCTGCCGACCTCTGTCATTGTCTTTGCCTCGAGAACTAACAGATAACTATTTCCTTCAATGCCATTCAGCACGACGGACAAGAGTACACCACCATCCTCGTCCTCGGAATCTGGATCCGCTACAAAAATCGGCTCACTTGCGGTCTGCCCATGCTGACTCCAGTAAAGCGATGTCTGTGTAACGACATCATGTTTGACCAGACCGTCCAGGAAAACACTTTTTCCCGAGTCAGTCACGCCGTATACGTAGCGGTACTTGCAGCCACGTACTCGAGGGCTGATTTGAGGCAGTTCCGATCCTAGTCCCTTTTCCATCGAGAAGACGATCTCCGCTGTGAGGGTTTTGTGATTCGATACTTCGGGAACGGCAGGCAGTCTAAAGCGCCGGAAAGCCCCGCGAGCCTTGTGGTTCCTTGACTCGCCATAATGGTGGGCTGTGGCTGAGTCGGACAGTAAGTTATCGATGTAAAAGCGTTTCAGTACGTCTAGGCTGCCGTATGCACAAACATCGGCGATGATATCTGTCTTAGAGGGATCGCTCGATGAAGGCTCTTCATACGCATTAATAGTGTGGAAACTGAAGAAGGGATCGGACTCGTAGCGCGCGATCAATCCCCGCCCTCCAGGGGTACGATCAACCACGAACCAAGTGCTGCGCTGTGTAGGGTCATAGTCGGCCAATGCATCTACAAAGTTGTGCGTCCATAGCAGGGACATGCCCCCAGCACGAAAGCGGGCGTTCCAAAGACAGAGCACGACGTAGTTCTCTGTCAGGAAAAGCGAATGCACGTATGTAGCAGCATGCTTGAACGTTGCAAGAATGCTGGTTTTTCCTGTTGAGTGAGAAACGTGGAAGACACGATAGGTGCTTGTTAGGCCTATGTCGAGGTTATAGTTGTAGACATCACCGGTGATCAGGTCCGTCTTGCAATGGGCCGCACTAAGGGGCCCCCGGAGTGAGGGATGCAAGACTGTTTGGTCCGCAATACCAATTGGCTCCAGAGTCTGAGGGTCAAGCATCTGGAAAGTAGAATTATCGGTGCGGTTACAGAGTGTCTGTATGCCTGGCCCGGGCATCCCCTCCTGCTTGCTGCCCGTCACCGATAACCCGGGAAAGTTAACGTTCAAAGTGACGCTGATATCAACCTCGTCGAGAAGGCCTCGTGGAATGGTCTTAAAAACCGACTGCGCCTTCTGGAAGAGCGACATGCATGGATCATACTTGGCTCCAAGAGTGATCTCGCCACGGTATCCTGTTCGCTGTATCCTTCGGACGAGGCCGTCGCAGGTCAGTCGGGAGTTGTGTGTGACGCGGACCCGGGGCTGTTCCGGCGTAGGAGCATGAATTTGGAAGCGATGGACCTGGGCAAAACAGTCAAACCAGTGGCTCACACGATAGATAGTTTGATTCTCCGTCTGGATATCGCGAGGGCCGAGTCCGTTGCGAAAGAGGACGCCGACGCAGTAGGGCGGAATTGTGCCTTGGATGGGTAACTCTGTCGGCTCAAGCTCTTGGTAGCGGACATCAAACTAGCTTTTTTAGTGACGCCGTTGAATATGGCAGCGAATGCGACTTACGCCCTGTGTATTTGGCCAGTCATTATAATGGGTAGTAGATGTTGATTCGTTAGCTGGCGGCGCCATATTAGCTGCTGTTGATGTTCAATAGTGTATCAGGGAGAGGAATGGCTGGTTTATAACGTGAAATCAAGGATAGAAGAATCCCACCCCCTCTATATCCATCATTGAGTTAACCTCGTATAATCAGACAGTGACATTACTCCGTCGGGACAGCCCCTCAAGTCAAGTAACAGCATAGCTCATGCTGTAATAAAGTTGGTCATAACCACGGCAGCGCGATTATTAAACCGATCCTAAGTGTATATGTGTGGTTAAAGTGAGCAAGCCAAGCAAAACAGATGCAGAGACGAGTCAGGCGACCACTTTTTTGATAGACGCGGAGGTATCGTCATAAAAGATGCTAGCTGTGTCATAATGTTCACCACTGACTTTATGGTTATGTCGGTTCAGACCTTTAGTCCGAGTGTCGATGGAAAAGATTCTAGATCGTTGATCAACAGGTGGACAGGCGAAGGATGGATGACTACGGAGTTGTCGATTGGGCGGTGGTTTGCGACTTCTCCGAAGGTGCCAGTAACTCTTGATGCCAAATGCGGTAGTGGATTGCGACAGAACAGGATCTGGCTTAACTTAGCCCTGAGACTCCAACGAATCTTTTAAACGAGCCGGTATGCGTTTTAGTAAAGGATAGCCGCCATCACTGTGATACACTATTCATTCACCCTGTCAGCTCTATCTATCTCATGTATCGTTTCCGCGCGGTATACCGTATATATTAAAGCATGTGTCCAAGATGACTGCGGTCTCGTCCTTGTCAGCTGCGCACAAGCTTAATAATGTCAATTCTTCATTAATACTTGATTTAGAAGCCTCGTTTAAGGAATTGAAGCTGCTGAAGCGTGAAGTATCTTACTAGAAGTACTCCAGTGAAGCATGCCCTAACCTCCCTGCAAGCATTCCATGCATCCGCCTATCATTCGGCGCCGGAGATAAATAAGTCGCCGGATTCCCCTCATTTTGCGTGATCATCACAACCCTTTTAAGATGACTTCCGACCGATCCTCAATGAACGTTGAGATAAATCCTTGATCTAACAGATGAAGGGGATACATAGCAATAATTATCGCCATGGCTCGCCCGACCATGAATAAAATCGCGACGATCCTCTGGGGAAGAGAGCCGAAGGATCGAGCCCTACTCGCGAAGCTAGATCTCACGCTGCTCCCATACTTTTCCCTCATCTGGTTTCTGTTCGGTGTAACACGAGCCAGTTACTCGTCGGCATATATCAGTGGCATGCGCGAGGCCTTAAACTTCCAGGGTAAAGATTACAATTACATGAACACCGCCTATTTAGTCGTCTACGCCGTCTGCCAAATCCCCGGGACGAGTCTTTTGACCGTTGTGCGGCCCAAATATGTCTTCGTCGCAGCCAACCTGACATGGAGTGTTCTCACTCTTATCACATACAGAATGACTCAGGCCTGGCAGGTTATTCTGCTGAATGCCATTGAGGGCGGCTTCTCGGCGATTGCCTAGTGAGTAGTGCCCTGCGCCAGGTGATGTGGCCTCCCTTCCGTCTAACAAGCTGGCAGTGTGGGTGCACACTTTATCTTAGGCTCTTGGTATCGGAAGTCCGAGCTAGGTACTCGAGCGGCTGTCTTTTGCTGTTTCGGTCATGTTGGCAGCATGGCCGGCGGATGGATACAAGCCGGACTACTGAAAGCATTGGCTGGGCACGGCGGTTTACCTGCGTGGCGATGGATCTTTATTATCGTCTCGGTGATGACAATTCCCGTCGCATTATTCGGTATATCCCCTGAAAGCCAAGTGTCATCTTCCAGATACTGATACAGAGGCTGTTAGGATGGTTCTTCATACCTGATCTCCCAGCACATCGCGCAGCATGGTATCTAAACGAGGCAGAGAAAGAGCATGCCGCACACAGGCTGGGCCAGACATCCAAGCAGACATGGGATCGCACCGTGCTAAAGCGAGTCCTACTCAGCTGGCAATTCTACCTCTTACCACTCATCTTCATGCGTGAGCATTTACTTCCCCATTCCCCCTTCCCCCTTCCCTAGAAGAAACACAAACCCCTCCCCAACCTCATATATCTAACAAAAGAAAAACAAAAGTCTACTCCCTCTGCGTCCAATCCCTAAGCAACAACGTAATGGCCCTCTGGATGTCCTCGCGCGGCTACACAACCATCCAACAAAACAACTACCCAACAGGCATCTACGCAACCGCCATCCTCGGCACAATCTTCTACTCCGCCATCTCCGACAAACTGCAATCCCGCTGGGAATGCTCCCTCGCAATCGGGCTGACCTTCGTCATCGGCAGCGCAATCCTCGTCGCCAACCCGGCCGCCGACGCAGGCCACTTCTTCGCCTTCTACCTGCTCGGCACGACCTACGCGCCCCAGGCCCTCTGGTACTCATGGATGGCAGACGTGACGGGCCATGATCTGCAGCTGCGGGCCATCACGACGGGGTTTATGAACTCGTTCGATTTTGCGTTTGTCACTTGGTGGCCGTTGGTGTTTTATCCGGTTACTGATGCGCCACATTTTGAGAAGGGGTATGTGGCTAGTTTGGTTACGGGGTCGTTGACCATTCCGTTTATTGGGCTTGTGGCGTATCTGGACCGGAAGGATACTGCTAGGGGGGTTATTGGGAGAGTCCCTGGGGTTGTTGAGGATACTGTCGACGATGACCAGACTCGACATGAGCGTGGGATCGATGAGGTTGATGATGATCATCCTGATGATCCTATTCCTACAACTGAGGTTACGGTTACGAGTAAGGTGTGACAAGGGGTGGTTGTTAGGTACATTACAGGAATATAAACACCAACCAATACATATATAGACACACATATAATTAGAGGAGATACTGATATACACACCTGTATACCCAACCCCCCCCCCCCAAATCCAATCCTCCCAGCTACGTATACTATAAACATATAAAACAACCCCAGAGAAAAAACGAACACCAGCAACACCAGAAAAATCGATTCCACCCAAGTTCCCAGAAATCTAGACAAATAAGCCCCCCACCAGTACACGCAAACCCACCTATACCCCCCATAGATATACGCAAACTCAAGCAAGGAACCCCCCTTCCCCCCATCCCCAACTAGAGATATGACCCGTCAACAACCTAAGGATACGTACACTAATGTACATGCATAGATGTATGTATGAGTATAGTGTGCATATGTGCTCAGAAGACGTCATGGAATGGGTTTTGGTTGGTTGGTGTAGGTTTCTTTTATATATATGTATGTATTAGAGGTTAGGTGCGTAGATGAATTGAGTTATTTACGAGGGATATGAAAGGCATATAGTAACAGTATTGTACATCCGTATGTAGCTGAAGTCTAAGCATTGCTTGAGGGGCCTGTTAATGTGCTGTTATTGTTACTTAGAGTGGGTTCTTAATATCTTTACTATGTACGGTTCCGAGGTCGTCTGTGTGGTATCGATACTACATTCATCTGGGAAGTACATACGAGATACATGCCTTGCAGTATAAAAGTACTATGCAGTTTTATTGCTGAGGTGTTTTCTAGATCTAGTTTTATGGGGACATACGTGGTAGAGCTTAGGTATATAGCGAAGAGCAAAAGTACTGCTGTACGAGCCAATAGACAATTTCCTTTTCCGCCAAAGGTACGACACTGGCGTAGAAATATACGTATACTTCCCCGTCTTCGACTATCTATGCACCCCCTGCACACCGTGTCTGAGGTGGCTAGCTAGATTTACAAGGGTTGAATTCAACTCAAGCGCCATGGGACTCACCAACGACGCAGCCGACAATAAGATTTTACGAAGTGTATGGGTGATTGCTGTCCAACCTCTAAGTGGTTTATCATGTCGAAGAGGTCCAAGAGCAATGTAGAGGGCCGTCTATTGATCTCTGCCCGGAGCTTCAGGCAGTTGAGTGTTGGCTGTGTGACCAGACTGCAGATATTTCACGGGGGACTGGGGTAAGGCAAGACGCCTATACTTTTGGGTGACTGCAGTTGGGCAGTCTCGTAGTCTGCTGCAAATGGATCAGGACAGGGAGGTGGTCTGCTTATGGTTATGGACAAGAAGTGGGAAGTAGTCTGGATTGCAATGCTGTGCGACGCACCGAAAAGGTAAGCTGGACACCCAACGCAGCGGGCAAGCCATGGAGCGTCATGATTGCAGATATTTACGGAAGACCGACCCATAGACGCGGTCTTTGTCGTGGGGGAGTGAAACGCCTTGGACGGATTTTGAATCAGATGCAGCTGAGGCGTTCCAAGGCCCGCGAAAAGGTCACCAAATTCATCGGGTGCAGACACCTTATTGGGCTCTGGATGGGTTGGTGGTGGTACGGCGTCTACCGCTGTAGGTAAGCTTTTATGCTTCTGAGATCAGATGGAGAGTGATCCCCTCTGGTCGATGCGATTTCAACGTTCTTTGTATGACATCCCGCTTTGGGATATCCCGACCGTAAGACTTATGGTATGTCATATCCTAACCATTGGAACAGAGGTTCCTTTCAAAAGTTCAAAGGCAATGTACGTGGCTTGCAGTGGGTGACTATGCTGTTTCTTCCGAATGCTTATTGCTCGGCCTAGGATGGGAAGTGTTCGCTTGACTTAGGGCTGGCCGAAGGATGGTAGCAGGCCTCCCTGTGGGGTGTCAGCTTGTACCACTTGTTCTTGACACAAGAAAGTTAAAAGAACAGTGGGTGCAAGGACGCTGATGTAGAATGTGATCCATAATGATCTATGCTGCTTACAATGCGTATCCATTGTAGCATTATTATGTGAAAGAGTTGCGGTGATGACATTGCTGGAATCTCCATCCGAGGGCTGAGTAAGCCACATGCAAGAACTACAGAGTTCCACCAACCATTCGATGGATGATAAGCCCAGAGGGAAAAAGAAAAAAAAAAAAGATGATGAAGAAACGGAGAAAACAAAATGACTCAGTAACATCATCAACAGATAGACTCTTATGTACACACTGGCCAAATCACAACAATGGGTAAATTAACAGGACAAGAACAAAGCAAAGACTGATTGCTTTCCTTTCATCGGGAGTCTGACATCGGATGCACTAACCCCGTTAGGGTAATATTGGATTTTGCCCGCCAGCCGCGACTCCCAGCGCGGGGAATCGGAAGAGTCATTTGCACTGGTGAATGACCTCCATCTCACCCCAGAAAGAGATGAATGCTAAAAACAAATGAATCAAATAAAGGCTTCCTGCAAGCTAAGGTTCCGGACCTATGTTGATCTGTGAAAAACTACTGCGCGTTGCTGACCCAGATGGGCTCGAGGGTATGCTTATGAGGTCCAGCGCGCCACCAGTTGATATCCGCTGTCAGACAGCTCATACAAAACCCGAGTACTTCTGCGTGTGACTGGAAGATGTGATCCTACCGTAGATTGCAGGGGGGGGGTTAAAAAGAATAAAATAAAACAAAATAAAATAGAAAGAACAAGAGGACGACGTTGAGATGATCTCGGAGATACTCCTTGGAAAAGAAAGTGGATAGCTTAGTCTTGCTGAGTTGATTGAATCTATTGTTGCCAGAGTGGGTTATAACACTCAGAATTATTACCGCTTGTTAGCTCTAGACTGCACTCCCCCCAAGCCCAAACAAAGGATGAGGGCAGGATGCGGCTTTTGCTTTGATCTAGGAGTTCGGGCGAAAAAAGAAAATAAGGGAAAACTACCTAAGGATCGTACAGGACTCAGGAGATTAGGAGAGGATTAATTTAGTACCTGGCTGTGGCTTGTACTGTACAAAGATAGAAAATATACGCTAGCCACGGCAAATAGTATAATAATACAGATGCCTAGCTGTTTATTATAAATTAATTAACCTGTATAACCGATCAACCAAGATTAGAACTGTCCCATTAAGCACGAGAACACAATATGTAGCCTGCCAATTGCAGGCCACTCAAACGATCAGGAACTCGGCGCTCTGATCCTTATCACATTGCTCCATTGCACAGAAGAATATATCGAACTGCCTCGTTTCCCCACCCTCCCCCCCTCCCGCAAAAAAAGTGTAAAAAAAGAGAAAAGAGAAAATAGAATAGAATAAAAAAGATAAATACCTCTCAGTATTTTTTTTTTACTCGGTGGAACCGAACCTACCTTCTATGCCCGAATAAACCGGTGGTCATCCACCAAGGTATGTATCTCAAGTTCTGTATGTATTAAACTGTACCTCCTCCAAGTGGGCGGCGATAGTCCCTGCAAATTAAGACCATCAAATGCGTGGTTTTCATGACCGATGGAAATTAAACCCATCCATTACTAAAAAGACCAGTCGAAACCTGGACGGCCAACAACTCCACAAGCCAGCCGCCGTGCTATGTGACGATGGTGTTTGTCGCCGGATCACAGCGGCTTCGACTGACGTTGAGCACGTACAAGATTTCGGTTGGGATTCTTGCGGTGGCCTATGATTTGATTTGTTTACGAACATGGTTACCTAGGTTGGAGATGTGGCGTGAGTTGGAAGACCTTCATTATGGAGACTGACTTGTGTACAAGTTAACGGCTGATTGCTATATTTGGTTCATACTTGAATGCCAGTACACCGGGTATGGGTTCGAGAGGTGAGACAGGATTCGTAATGATCAAAGTTGACACAGTCAATCTTCACCCATAATGAGATGGGGATGCCTAGAGTTCAGTTTAAAGTCTCCAATCTGTATGGGAAGCACTCGGGAGATACCACAGTCGTTCTGTACGGTTACGATTGTCTCTGTCAGACGGTATTGGTGTGGTGAAAACCTACGATTTGACTGGTCGGGGCGGGGAAGGGAGGAGTTTCACGCTGTATTGAGTATCGTAACCAAAAACTCCGCTTATCTCCATACGGAGTTCTTACTTTCGGGGCTTCTGTCCTCCGTTAGGGAAGAAAGAGGATGACATACACGTTCAGAAGCGGGACAAGTATGGAACGTAAAAAAAGGAGGAATAAATAAAATACAAAAAACAAGAAGGGTTGAAAAAGGAACGAAAAGAGTAACAAAGCGTGTCGTGGAGCCCGATCTGAGACTTTACGCCCCAGCCAGAATGCATCGATGACCATCTGTGGATATCGTAGGCTTGCGAATACTGGTGACCTGCCAAAAAGACCCTTTTGAAAAATATCCCGTCTATCGTGTTCAAAGACGTAATACTGATATGATCGTTAAGAGTCAGCCATCGAATAATATGGACCTTCATTCTCACCCCCGCCTTTGCGATAAATGCGATAAGCCCTTTTTTTTTCTCTTTCCGGCCTCGGAATTCAGATTACCCTCGGTTCTAGAATGTAAATTAAAATGAAAAAGAAATTGTAAGTGACATTTTTTTTCTTTTTCGCATCACTATTACGAAATTCGGACATACTTTTCATAATGATGATCGGAGTGTGTCGGAAATATCGACTCTCTCTCTCTTACTTCAACCATTCCCCTCCCCCCACCGTTGCAATCGATGTAGTCTTCCATACGGTCCGTGCCTACAACATATTAACCGGGACAAACTTACTCTCAAAACGAACGCAGAGGTAAACACTAATTTGGCTAGCCATCCTGGTTTAACATCGACCTGAGGACGAATGCTACCTCCTGACTGCCTCAAGGGAATACCTGCTTTCCAACACAGTTTCCGGGGTCATGCAAAGGCGCAGACATACTACATGCAGAGGTCGTCGTAGGAGTAGTAACAACCGGTCGGCAGCGCAAAGGCTATCCGTGCTCGTAAACCTTGGGCCACAGGCTTGAACGCAGGCAAGTCTCAACCGATCTAGGTAAGTGATGCTAACGCTGCAATATAGACTTGCATGACTTAGCACAGAACGGGTGTGATGTATCGAAACTCGTCCTCCACCACGATCATGTTGTTTGATGATCCCCGGCTAATAATAATACTGATCCGAATATCATAAGAACAATGAGTTAATGGCTGCTTATTTGTATGTATCAGAGCGCAAGGATTGCAAGAATGCAAGGAGCCCCGAAGTTGGAAAAGTAGGCAACCCATCCCTACAGAAATTGTTGCTCCTCGGAAAGGGAACGAGGGACGTCTACGGTTTCCTTGCGTAGTATGGCTTATTTCAATTCATATCAAAAAGTCTGGTGACGCGATCAGTTGAAGGGGAAGGAAGGTGTTGGAAGATGCATTATAGCTGAAAATTATGACAACCCACGCGCAACTAAAGCACCACCTTCACACTGGTGGCGATGGGGCAAGAAAAAAGAGGATAAGAAATTCTCCGGTGAGCATCATTTCCAATCTCGCAGTAGACAGCTGCCCATGATGCAGTGACGGATAGAAGAGATTAAATCAATTAGACAAACAAAAAAAAAAAAAAAGCCATATCTACATATGCAGCAATCCCCTGTAAGCGAGCACTGA